TAAAATATATTTTATTTTGATATAATTGTTCGTTTGATAAAAAAAATATAAAGGATATTTGTATGTTTTGAATGTGAAATTCAACTATTATGAGAGAAATGTATTTAAATGAGAATAAATACGAGATAGAGTGAAATAAAAGTAAAATATTTATAAAATAAAATATTATTCTAATTCATATATTAAAAGTAATTTTAATTGTAAATTTTATAAAATAAATTCATAAAATTTTATTAAAAATAATCAAACCAAATATGTTTTCTAAATTTTAAAACTAGAAAATAAAAATGAAAATAGAAAATAGAAAATGTTTTCTAAAACTAAACACAGCCTTAGTTTTGAAAGTTTTCTAGAGAAGTGGGTGAATGAATACGATCGAACATATTGCTCAATATCGAATTGAATATATTCTCGCAAGAGATACACTTTCCATTATTCATCATAGATTGTTTGGCAATATAAAGAATATGCAAGTTGACGCTGTTCGTCCTCAAACATAGGAGGCCATGCATCTACCCATTTCAACTACTGCAATCGCGTCGTCATCCGTTAAACATTGCTAGACCCATACTCTAATCTTTACTGTACTAAACTGTTAATTCTTAAGACTTTACCCAATTAACCTTCCAATTGACTTAGCTATCCAAATCGCATTGCATAACACTCAAACTGTATGATCATAAATAATTTATTAATTCATATTTTTCGTAGTAATTTCGATAATTTGCTGCTGCCTATATTGTAGGGCCCGATAGTCCACCTGTTGCTTTACGAACAAGGTGTCTCGAGTTCGAACCCCGGGCCCGATAGTCCACCTGTTGCTTTACGAACAAGGTGTCTCGAGTTCGAACCCCGGGAAGTTACTACTGATATTGGTATATTGTAGGGCCCGATAGTCCACCTGTTGCTTTATGAACAAGGTGTCTCGAGTTCGAACCCCGGGAAGTTACTCCTGATATTGGGGGAGTTCCGACTTCACCAAGCTGCCAACGGGTTAACCTTTTCGTAACAACCCGCATCGAACCCAATCGAACCATTGGCTTTGATACCACTTTGTTGGACCCAACATATATATCCACGTCATAATTAATCCGTAAGTTGATGATGCAATGAGTTTGTGCGTCAATATTTCTTTCAAATATTCCCAAAAGGAAATCATATCATAAAAATCAATGGTAAAGAATAGATGCCATGCACACTCATAAAAGGCTGATGCTTCAGTCTAGAGACAATGATACATCTATGCCATTGTACAAGTACAGCGAATAACTAAACGATCCACACAACACAGAGTAGCATTCTCCATTTTAATCTCAATACCTTTCTTTCTGTTAATATATTCTACCTCTAACGCTATTGATTAACTTTTGAGTGGCGATCCTCATGGCACGTAGAGTGTAGACACAAAGGTTCAATTAATTCCATCATGGGAAACATTCACAGCAGCAACAATTTCTCTCAGCGGTTTCCTCTGGACGATAATTCGGTTGCTGTCATACGCAAAACCAAAAGCCGCAAAGGGCGTGAAGTTGTGGACACTTGGACTGCAGAGTACTACTCATTTGGAAAGACAAGCTGCGAACTAGAGTTGACCAAAACCAACCAACAAGAGTTATTCATCTCTCTCCTTGACCACGCACCAAGCCATGCAAACGACCACGTTGATTTTCGGATAAATATGAGTGTCGAAGAAGGTCTTCTTTTAGCAAACGTTACTCTAAACGGACCTAGAACATGCATGCATCAACTTCCGGAGAGGAAAACCCCTATTGCGCAAGGTGGTGTTCTCAAGTCCTCCTCCATATTGTACGGACGTGACTCCGACCGGAAGGGTCTTATTGTCATTTTAAGGGCAAAGAGAAACGACGACGACAAAGAGCGTCCTTACATGATCACTTTGAAGCACTATTTCGTGGCTGCTTCTTCTTCTCATGGTGTCTGTGTTGTGGCCAAGATTCGCAGTGATGGAGGTTTGAGTGTTGAGATAGAGAAGCCTTCTACGCAGCCCAAACGTGACATGTTGCACATGTTTGATGATGTCAAAGGAAAGGGGTGGTGCCCTAATCCTAGTAGTTCTGATTGTGCAATCGAGCTTTTCAACCAAAACAATGGTAAAGTACGGGTGATTAGGTTTGAAGGCATGAACAATCCAGCTGCAAACAATGGTAATCCTTTTTGTTATAGCATTAGTGGCCAGCAAAATATCTCGTCCCTTGTAAGCGCAAGTGGATGCACTAATGGCAATTATAACGGTTCCATGATATTTCAGGACTGCCATATTTGGATTGATGCTTTTGCTACTAGCAGGAATTACTAAAACATGGGTTTGAGATTGTATTTAGTAAATAATGTAATTGGATATTTTCCTAATTCTTATAAAGCTTCAAGGGAAAACTAATAATGTTTTCTGTATGATATTTCATTGAATTTAATTTTATACTTTTTTTTTTTTTTTTGTAGTGTATACTCGCTTTAATAATGTCTTCGTTCCTTAGGATAGTCAGATTGAGAGGAAATAATTCGAGAATTTTGTATTAATAGGAACGATGCACAGGGGAAAAAATGATATGAAGTGATTTACTTTCATTTGTTTGGTAACAATGAAAAAGAGAGGGATTGAAATGGAAATATTACGAAAACATAATTCTACACATAAAAATAAATTAAATTTAAACTTGAAATATAATTTAATTTTTGGTTAAATTTGAAATATAATTTAATTTTTGGTTAAATTTCACTTTTTGGTCACTCTATTTTGTTAATTCATAATTTTGGTCAATTTATTCTAAAATAGATGGAATTTAATCTCTATTTAAAAAAATGGAATTTTAATTATCTTATTAATTTAATATTCACTGATCATTAAATTTTAATGTTATTCGTTAATTTTTTACTATTTAAGTGATGTGATATTTAATGACGTGACATGTAAGAATAAAATAAAAAAGTTAATATCTAGATGATCTCTGTTTGTATTAATTTTAACGAGTGATTGATATTTATTTTATTAATAAATATTATTTACATGTGTTTTTTAATATTGTTTTTTTATCTCTGAATGTTATATTATTATGTTACTAAATGTTATATCACTTATATATAAGTAAATGCTAAAACTTAACTATTAACATATGTCAATTTGATAAGATGATCAAAATTCAATATTTCAAAAAATAGGGGAACTAAATGTCTTTATTTTAAAATAAAGAGACTAAAATTACGAATTAATAATGAAAATAGAAGAATCAAAAACATAATTTAATCTTAAATTTACTTATTTAATTTTAAATATGAAAAAATATATGTACTAATTATTAAATATTTGATTAAGATTTTAATCTAAATATCTTAAAATAACTATTTAAAAACTAATTAGTAATTACTTAAATTAATGTTTAATAATACTTGAATTCAATTTTATTCGTTGTCTAAAAAAGTTTAAATTTATTTCTAGTTCTTATTTTTATCCTTTAAAATCAGTAAAATAAAAATGAAATAAAATTATTACTAAAAATAAAATTTAGTCTTAATTTTTTAAATATTATTTATCACATAATTTATTTAATGTAATTTATGATTGATATTATAATTTTATGGTCTGGAGGAAAATTTTACTGTTAAATTAAAATTATGATTTTTATAAAATTAAAAAAAATTAAAAATTAAGAACTAAAATCACATAAAATATTACATGACAGTTAAGGTGTAATTTAGCTTAAAAGATGTATATAGTAAAAAAGGAGTATCGTTGGATTAACTAGATCCTCATTTGGTGGACATGCATGAAAGAAACTGATCTCAAATATCTTTCTCGTCATTAATATTCGAATTCTTTTGTCAATGGAAAGGAACATTTATCCAATAAGAAAGGAGCATCGATCCTATATTGATTATCATGACAAAATAGTCATGCGAGTGTCAATCTGATAGATAAATATTCGATCCTATATTGATTATCATGATAAAATAGTCATACGAGTGTGGATTTGATAGAAAAAATATTCGTATTCTCTTTTAAATGGTAAAAAAATTATCTAATAAGTTCCTATATATATTCGTTTTCTTCTTATTGTAGATCTTTTTGCTTGACAGTTCAATATTAAAAATAAAAGGAGTTGAAATATCTTTAATGTTAGATAAATATTTGTATTCTTTTGTGAATATTGAAAAAAAAATCCAATAATAAAGGACCATCGATCCTATATTCAGTATATCTTAATAGAATAGTCATACGAATGTCCAATAGATAAATATTCGTAATCTTTTGTAATGGGAAAAGAAAAATATCCATAAGAAAAGGAGCATCAATCCCATATTATCAATAATCCCTGGATTTTAATTTGGACCATACAAAGAATAGAATTCAAATGTCTTTTTCTTTTTTCCTTTGCATATCTGATAGAAAATGTTCTTATTCTTTCATTCATGTAACCACCATATCAAGACTTTTAGCTCTTTGACAAGATCATGAGCATGGCTGGCCAAGACTAATGAAAATTTATCTGCTATGAGATTTTGTAAACCAAAAATGAAATTACAAATTTCTGATAAAAAATTCTATATATAATTTTTTTAATTTTAAATATAAAAATCTCTACTAAATTTTACTTTAAGTTTCCGTTGTTATATGACCCGTTCTTAACTATAAGAATTTTTAATTATAGCCTTTGAGCTGACAAAAACTAATTTTTCTTTAAAATTCAACCATAACTTTATATTTTTTTTTCATGCAATCTATAGAACTCGGGTCTTCTCACAAATTAACTTGTCAACTAAGCATCAATTATATGTTATAACCAATGATTTTAAAATTGGATTTATCATTGAATCGATGTAGATATTAATTTTGAGTTTGATAATTTAATTGATATTAATAAAATAATAATAATTATTAATATAATATAATATTAAATAAATATAATATTATAATTTTGTAATACTAAATATTAAAATAAAATGTTATTCATAAATTTTT